CTTCTGGACACTTTGTCTGGGATCATTGTGGGGCTGCTGGGAACCTCTGAGAAACATAGGGGTGCCTGATGCTGCCTGGGAAGGAAGAAGATAAGGAAAGGATAACAATAAGGGAAGGAGAACCACAGGAGACTTTGACTTTTGGCAAGTTTCTAGTGTGGCTTAGCTGCTTCTAATGAGCTCTAGAAGCTGCACCTGAGGAAGAAGGGCTTGAAGCCCCTGTTCCAGCTGAGCCCAGGTTAGGGAGGGGCCAGCATCCCTTAGCCAGTGCAGGGCAGAAGCCTATATAAGGGGCAGGCTCAGTTCCTAGGTGCTGTAGTGCAGCTGATGGAGGCAGCAGGTTGTGCAGAAAGGTGGGTTGTTTTGGGGTTACTTTTTTCCCTTTTTTTGTTTGCTTTGGTTCTGGGGGGCTTTTGAGTGCCAGCACCTCTTCCCAGAGCAGCACACCGAGGTCACAGTCCCCAGAGCAACTCTTCCTGCAGTGCTGGAGGGGACAGCCTGGCCAGCCCTGAGCTGCTGAGGGTGCTGGGGCACCAGCAGTTTGCACATCTTGGAGCTGTGCTGACAAGCAGAGAAGCTGCTGAAGAAGGGCAGAGGGCTGCATGGCATTGGAGAGGGCATGAAAGAGATCAGCTGGATCATCTCTCAAACTCTGCAGCTACAAGAGCCCAATCCTACAAGAGACTATGGTGGTGGAGCAGGTCCACCTGTCAGGTTTGAAAGAGGAAATGCCCTCAGTGGTGAAGGTTGTCCTGGTGACTCCCAGCAACAGAAGGATGGATCCTGCTCCACTCAAAAGCTTGTGGTTATGGCATAGGTTCAGTGCCCTTATCACTGAGGAGGGGCAGGGACCACTCTCAGTCATCTTTAGGTGACCTCAGCCAGCTGACATGGTAAGGAGAGCTTTAAGCTGGGATTGCTTCTGTGTTTGGGGAAGCTGGTGAGGCTCCCTGTGCTGAGTTCCTAATGAAGGAGCAAAGCTGGTGCCCGGGAGCAGCCCAAAGGCTCCCCACGGTTTGGCTGCTGATTGTCACCTGCTCCCTCCCTGTTGGCCTGGTATCATTAGCTGTGCATCTGCAGCGAGCGTCTGTGGAGCCCGCTCCCTGCTGTCAGGCAGGCGGTGGCTCTCGTCCCCAGGCTGAGAATAGCGGCTCATTAGAGATGGGCTGTGGCAGCTGGGATAACAAAGGGATCCCAGTGATCTTCCCAGAGCCTGGGGGGCCTGCTTTCAGCAAGCTGTCAGCCCCCAGTGACTGCAGTAACCCAGCAGCATCACGCTCCTCCCTCCTTGGGGAAGGGTCTTGGCATTGGGATGGGCTGAGACCAACCCGCTCAGTTTGTGTGTAAACTTCTCAAGCAAGCTCTGGAGGAGGGAGTACCTCGAGATCTCATGGCCTGGACCGGCCTGCGAGCATTGCTGCTGCTGTTGTAAACCCTCCCCAGGCAGTGCAGCTCTACACCAAAAGCCACAATGCTGGACAAAGCAGGTCTAGCATGGCTGGGCATCAGTCTCAGCGACCCTGTGCACTGCCCATTAGCTGCGAGGTGATGGCATTTTCCTCCTGTAATTGCTTGCTGCTTGGCCAGCAAGTGAGCCAAGTGCATGCAGCATGGCTCCCAGGGGAAGGCTGTGTCCTTCACATCCTGTTCTTGCTTGGCTGCAGTGGCCTGAGGTGGCTGAACACCCGCTCTGTCCCCCACTGTGGCTGGCTGGGGATGGGGGGGTGGGCTGGGGTCACCCTGTTGATGCAGGGGATGGCAAACATTGCCCTGCTGCCTCCATCCTGCTGCCCTGGGGCAGCTCTGCAGCCTCAGCTCACACACCCTGGGAGGAGGACAGGAGGGCTGAGCAGTGCCTCAGTTTCTCCAGTTAGCAGCTAGACCCCCACAGGGCTCAGTGGGCTCTTCCCTGGGCCTGGCGGAGCTGTGTTCCTGCAGCAGATGTCCACCTCTCTGTGGCCTCTCAGCAGCCCCCCTCTCCCTGCTGTGGTTCTCATCCAGGTTAAAATTAGCTGGCTTGTTAGCTTGGCCCTGCCAAGGCAGGTGAGTTCAGGGCAGGGTGAGCCAGAGCTCCTGGTGTCTACCCATCAGGGTCCTAAAACACTTTTCCAAACAATTTACAAGGATGCTGGAGAAGCAGAGGGTGCTTAAAAGCACGCAGCAACCTGCCAAGAGCTCACATCGTGGCCAAGGAGTAACTCATGCAGCAAAAGCATCTGCTCACTGGTAGCACAGTGGCTGAGGCTGAAACGGCCTTTCTGCAAGGCCAGACCGAGCCCTGTGCTGCCTGCTGCTCCACAGCTCCTCATTCTTTGGGTGCTGCCTTCATCCCTGGGACAGTCAGGCTTGCATCACCCTCCATCACAAGCAGCAGGACATCAAGGTGCTGAGGACATGCAGGAGCAGGGATTATATGTCCATTTTATGTTCCTGACAGCTTGGGAAGTAACAGTCCCTCTGCATTGGGCTGTTCAAGGCCTGAGGAGCTCCATCCAGTTCTGCCTTTCCGGGTGCAAGTACCCCCAGACAAGTAGCCCTGAGCTTGCTCATGGTGTGGTCCCTCCAGCTCTGATGCTTGGGGACTGATAGGCTTGCTGTGGAGCCCAGGGGTGAGCAGAGAGGAGGTCCCATCCCTCCAGAGAAAACCCTTCCCAAGAATGAGGCAGCAGGCAGCTTCTGGTAAAGGAGACTTTAATCTGCTCAGTATATAGTCCATAGTGCAAAGAGTTAAACTTAAGGCAAAGCTTTCTCTTTTTCTTTATAAACAGGCAGCAAATAAACAGGCCCTAAAACAATAAGCGTAAGTCCTATAATAGAAAAAAGGGTTTGAGGGGAGAAACTGCAGTCCTGGGGAGGCGTCCTTTCCTCCCTGAAATTCACATAGAAAACATTGCACCATGAGGTGGTCCCTGACCAAACACCACAGCCTGCAGCCTGAAGCATGGCCGAATTCCTGCTCCTGGGTGTCTCCACAGGCACACCTGAAGAGAGCAGCTCCCCGTCTCATCTTGCAGGATGACCTCTGGAATTGCTGGGGACAAGCTGGACCCTGTGGAATGCAGCCTGTGGGGTTGTACTTGCTGCTCTGGCAAAGGCTTGGCTAACTCAACTGCAAGTGTCACTGGCTGCAGCCACAGGGGAGGTGGCTGGAGTGAGCAAACATTAACATGAGTGGTGTGTGTCTGGGGAGGCACAGGGATAACAGGAGGAGCAATAGGGCTTGGGCAGGGAGCTTTTTATCTCTGCAAAGTGAGGTGGAAGCAGCTGATAGCCCTGGGACCAGGTCCTTCCAATGCTCTGGAGCCAAGGGAGTGCCTCCAGACCCCATCAGAGTGGGGGCAACCAGCCCCTGAAGTGCCTCCCAGAGCAAAGCCACTCTCCAACAAGATAATATCTTGCTGCAGCTCAGGTTTACAGCCCAGAGGTATCTCTCAGCATGGCCTGGCCTCCCTGCTGCCTCTTTTGGCTTCAATCACTAATCAAAGGAGAACAGAGAAGGAAGACCATGCCAGCCACCCTCAGGCTCTTGGCTTGCAGTCCAGGAGTCAAGACTCTTTCCAGTCTGGCTCCAGCCAAAATTGGCTGTGGTACGTGGCTGACCTCAGGCAAGCTGCTGGAAAAGGAAAAGCTTTTTAGTGCAAAGCCCTCCTGCAGCCCGGTGATTTCTTGGAATGGTGCTGGTTGACCAAGCTGGGATGAGCCACCTTGGGCTCCCCAGCTGGGATTTGATGCCCTCTTAGACTCAGGAGACACTTAAATAAAACTAGCTACATTTTGGACAGACAGTAAGACAGAACAGCAGTGTAACAGGGGCACCCTGCCCTCATCAAAGATAGCCGTGGTCCTGGTACTGCTCCATGCACACAACTGCACATCCACAGCATGGATATGCAGAACTTCTGCCTGGAGCTGGAATGTCTCAACAGGCTCCCAGGAGCTTTGGGGTGTCCCCTCTCCTCCCAGAACATTACTCCCTCTAAACCAGCCCAGCCTGGGAAGCAGTCAGCAAGCACTGGTGTGAACTACCCCGTTCCGTGGCACTCCGAGCCTGAAGAAAATGTGTATTATCTAGAGAAGACTCCCCAGCATTGGCTCAGACGTGTGCTGCCAGGGCCCTGGGGTTTCCCAAGCAGCAGCAGCACCACCACCACGTCTGCAGAATAAGTAACTCCCTCTGGCCTCCCCACATGAGTAACCTGATGGGTGCTTGCTAGTCTTGCATAGGTGATGCGTGGAAGCAGCAGTGACACTGAGCTCTGCAGTCAGCTGTGGCCTACAGGGAGCCTGTGTTGGTCACAGCTCCTCGTTGTCCTGGCTAGGGGAATTGGAAGCTCAAAAACCAAAGCCATGGTGGCTAGGATATTAAACTACCCCAGAAATCCTGCTCTTTTGTAGTTGAAAGCCAGGCTTAGGCCCTGGTAGCAAAGCTTAAACTTGAGTGTGCTCATTGCTCTCCTGGGGCCTTGCAAAGGGAGCATACTTCTTCCTCCTAAGCTCCTGTTAAGTTAGATGGTGGGAGGAGGTAACAGAGACCTGAATACAATCTGCTAGGTAGTTTTCTGGTCAGACCTTTGGAAAGATCCTCCCTTGCCTTGCACCAGCTCCTCTGATTCTCAGGAGGGCACAGCATTTAAACTTGCCATCAACTTTGGCTAGAAGGAACCAGAGCATCTTTCTGCACTCTGCTTTGAATCTCAGACTGCTGCAGGCTTGAGGCAACAGGCCCTGGAACAGCAAAAGTTGTCAACAAAAATAAAGGTAACTTAGCCTGCTGCAAAGATCAGTTACTGTGCTTGCTAGCAAGAGCTACAGTCTAGTTATGTAGCAATTGTGGCTAGCAGATGCCCCTAAAAGCCTTTTGCCCTTTCAGCACCATCCTTAGTTCTTTGGAAGCTGCTCAAGGCAGCCCTGGGAAGTTCTGCTTCCTGTCAAGAGGCAGACAGGGGTGGGGGTGCCCTTGACCACCTGGCAAAGTGACCCAAGCCACCCACCCCTTGGGCTCACAAGTACACATTGAGCGTCTGGAGGATCATCTGGCGGCACAGTGGGCAGTTGCGCTGGTAGATGGCCTGCTGCAGGAGGACTTCCGTGCACTCCTGACACAGGCACAGGTGCCTGCAGGGCAGAAGCAGGACTGTCTTAGTTTGGTCTTGGCAGATGACGCATTTCTTGCGTTCCTCTTGTTCTTTCAGGAGCATCCAGGGGTCATTATCTGCAGTGCCCTCAGCATCCCTAGCTCCTGCGTTCAGCTGCTGCCTCCTGTGAGCTTTCCCCCACGAGGTACCCGGTTCCTCCCAGCGTGGCTGGAGACGCTGTCCCCCCACACTTCGACCCAGAGCAGGACGTGCTTGTGGTACCTGCTCAGCATCCTCATCGTCCTCATGCTCCGCTGGCAGCTGGCTGACCCTTGCCAGCATCGGCCTGCCGGGGGCTCGGGGGGAAGCAAGCGACGTTTTTTTTTTGCCGGGAGCGCGGGGGAAGGCAGGCACAGCTGCCCCTGGCTGGTTGCTTTCCCGGTTCATCATTCCGCCTCCTTGGCTCCAGTTGGTTACCTGCAGACTCCAGTCCACCAACCTGCGCCAGGTCTGGGGCATCCCGCTGCAGGCGGTGGTAGGACGGCAGCGTGTTGAAGTAACCCAGCACACAGTCTGTCAGCGTCCACAGCAGCCCCGGGTTGAAGACAAAGGCGCCGACAACAACAATGAGAAGCAGCAAGCCCAGGCCGTAGATATTCACAAAGAAGATGTTGATGAAGAGCTGGGTGACGGAAGCCAGGAGCTCGAAGGCCAGCTGGCAGGGTGACCACAGCAGGATGGACACAGCGATGGCGCCGCTGGAGACG